AGATAGCTCAGAGGAAGATAGTATCCATGCTTTACATGCAAGCCTGGGTACAATCCCTGGTATTTGCAGGGTCCCTGAGCAGCACCAGTAGCAATCTCTGAGTACTGAGCTGTGTTGGGTTTGGCGGAAACCCCAACCATCTCAAAAGTTTTTATTCCAAAGCTCCTAGTACCGCATCTAGAATATAGACTTCATTCGGGAATGAGAAACATTTTTACGGTTCTTCCTTTGGATTCCTACCTAAATGGTAATGCTGATTCTGATAAATATCCGTCTCCATTTACTGAGAAAAGTTTTGTCTGCAGGTCTGTGCTTGGGTGTTTTACATATGGAGCTTACATCTTTGTGCATGCTTTAGACATAAAACCCAAGGCTGAGTGAAGAGAGCAAACTCTCCTCTCCTTCCTGCCTGGAAGACTAGGCTTCATATCTTTCTCTCTCTCTCATACTCTGGTTCTTTCTCCTCTTAATCTCTCCATAGTCCTTGTCTTGCTCCTTTTTCACTTCCTTTCTAACTTCACTTATCTCTCTTGGGTCTTCTGCTTTATTCTTCACGTGACTGTTCCACATCTCCCGTCATTGTTTTATCTCTGTATCTCTGTGTGACTTCTCTGTATCTCTCTTTCTCAGTGACTTAAATTTCTAAAGAAAAAGCAATTTCTCATCCAGTTCTAATGAACCTTCTCTAGATTCCAGTGGTGTGCTGCAAAGTCAAAAAAAAATCAGCACCCTAAATGATAAAGCAAAAAGGAAAGTCACTGTCCTTGGATAAACAATTTGCATTTCCATAAGGATTCAGTGATGCAGAATCAGAAAAGGCTCATTCTGACACCTCTGTGAAACAACAGGGAGAGCATTCATGAGCTTGGCTCCCTTTTGAATGATGCACTTCATCTCACACACCGCCGTCCTTCCCATTCAGGAAACAGGGCTTAATGTGGTCTGAAACCCGCCCTTTCACTGGGCATTAGGATGAATGACTTTTCAAAGTAATAGGAGCTACACATCTGCTAGGGCCTGAGAATGCTTACACTGGAAAAGCCATAAAGAAAGTCACACCTACTGTCAATAACTTATCCATCAAAGAATATAGTGCATAACGTCGACTTTTTCCATTTACCTGCATGAAAAGGAAAATGTTTTTGTTTGTTTTTTGAAATGATACCTGCTTTCACTTTTTACATTTGTAAAGTTGATGGTGGTTGTCTGTATTTAAGGTTGAGCAGCACCCTTGTACCACTTAGGGGATAAAAGGGAATTTGTCGCTAGAGTCCTCAAAATATTTAATCAGTAGAATGAAAATGTTTTTGGTATTATTATTCTCGGTACACACATGATCATCTTGAAAGTATGCAGAATTCTTTTTCATGATTTTGACTGATCCTTATAGAAACTCTGATATGCTGAAGTTATTTAGATGTGGGCACTAAGACAAAATGTTTAGGCAATATGCTGAGGTGTATTGGAGATGTAATTGTTATTTTAGTGCCAGCACTAAAGATCTTAATGTGCCTTATGTGAATCAAAAATTGTGTGTCTACTTTGCTCACTAGTGAATGTAGTATATGATACTATAGGTCAAATTGATTTTCATAATCCTCAAACTCTAGGCTTTACTGTAACATTCATAGGAAAGGATTTTACCTCAAGGTCATAATATTGAATGATTCAAAAAACCTCTTTACTTTGCCCGTTTAGATATCCAATGAACTAATGAATGTATTTGGAATTTCTGTGTATATTTTCTGGTCAATCTATGTGGCACCAATATTCAATTTAAATGAAAGTTACTATCAATTCAGTTTCTAATTCTTCGAACCTTTGTAAGTTGCACAGGTACTCTACAAAGAACATAGTTTTGCGTTAAGTTACACGCAACAGTTTTTTCATCTCACTCAAAATTGACTTTTGAATACTACTTAATTCTCAATGTTCCTTCCATTATTTCCTCTATTTACCCTTTGTTAGTTGAGTATGAAAGCAATGTATGAAGATCTGTATATCATTCGTATTTTAAAAATACATTTATTGTACTACAAAGTGGAAAAAATTAAAAGTCACATTATTAAAAATTATATCATTTCAAAACAAAATTTTAGTTGTAAATATTAAGACAATTTGGAATCCTGCATAAAGCAACACTTTTATGAGATATTGTGTTTATATTATCATTTTTCATACTATGATAAAATGGTTCAAGATCATTTGAAATGCCAATAGTAATAACAAAAAGGTTTTTTGAAAGTTGGTAATAAAAAAATATGACTGTGATCAAAATCTACTCCTTGTATTGAGTCCACCCCAAAATTAAACTTTTAAATGATAAGTCATGCTGACTACATTTAAAAGCAATATAGTCTTGGTGAAATTCTTATTTTTTCCAATATTAATTTATTTAAAGTTGAATAAATTTTGGATTGAATAAAATTTAAAACTTCACATTTAAAAAAATAGAAAAAGAAATAAAACACTAAAATCAAACAAGAACAGCCCCCATGTTTCTCCCCAATGTTAAGACTACAATACAATCTAAGTATATACAAGCGTCTTCAGTACTAGAAATAAAGTTGAGGTAATAGATGATATTGGACACAATTTATATTATTTCATATAAAACAAAAATTTCTACTATTTTAAATTATTCTTCCATATGTAAAAACTAACTACTCTTAAGACAATCACATTTAGCTTTTAGGGCTTTTGCATTTATTTTACTATTACTGTTAGTATATAGGTGTATTACTTACTCAGGAAGTAAGAGCCCCGTGATCAAATAATTATAAAAAAAGAATCATTAATTAGTCAACACTCATTTGTTTGACACATATCTTGTGATCTAAGAAAAACAGATATCCTTTGATAAGTAAAATAATAATTTCCTTTTTCATTTATCGTGAAAATCTCATATAAAAATACTTGGAACTTTTTACACAAAGTTTCAATTTATATTCCATTAAATTTGAAAGAAATTAAAAATACACAAAATTTAATATGAAAGGATTTAAAACAGTTTACTATAGAAATTTGACTTGAAATCAGTTTTTTTTCAGATCATTGTTTCCATCACCTTTATAGTTTTGATACTCACTAAATTTAATAAATATTGTAATAGATTAGAATTTTTTAATTGCTTAGAAATAAAAGGCTTTATTTAAATCTTTTTATCAATTGTGTATGGAAAACTTTTCCCAAAAATATGTCACATAATCCCCTCAAAGCAAGCTAGTAAATCCTCTGAGTAGTTTTGAGCCTTTAATGGTTAAGTTTAGGGTCATTTTTCTGGCAAAGTGGTGAAGATTCACAACCCTCTTCAGCATATCATTGCAACAGCTGAAAGATGAGCTTGGCCCCATGGGGGTGCAGTTGCAAGCACACTCAATTTCATGTTTATATCATAGAAAAGGTAAAGGTAAAGGCCCTCCCGTTGATGGTCGATTTGCTCGAGCGGGCCCAGTAACGTCTCCATTGGAGACTTTGTTGTTACTGTGTCTGGCATATCGAATACGCTCGGTAGCTTGCCGGGCTCCGAGAGGGGCGGAGGAATCGAACTCGGGTCGGCCATGTTGGCCGCTTGTAAGGCGAACGCGATAGCACAGCGGGTAGGGCGTTCGCCTTACAAGCGGCCAACATGGCCGACCCGAGTTCGATTCCTCCGCCCCTCTCGGAGAGCCCGGCAAGCTACCGAGCGTATTCGATATGCCAGACACAGTAACAACAAAGTCTCCAATGGAGACGTTACTGGGCCCGCTCGAGCAAATCGACGATCAACGGGAGGGCCTTTTATCATAGAAAAACAGGTCTACAGTGAGAGAAGGTCAAGTTGCTGAAATTCGAAGATTCACTTGTACAGATAAATTCACTGATTCTCTTTACCACAACTAAAGAAGGCGGAAGAAACCACTCTACAAAGTAGTCTTCAGAGCAAAAGGCCCACATAAGAATATACAAGACTATCAAAACTTTCTGTGAAAAACTAATGGAAATCATGTTATATCTAAAACATGCCTTGTGCAAATTGTTTCTTTGATGTTAAGAAAGTCAATTCCTCTACCTCTTAAGTATTTGGTTACAGCATTTCACAATTAGCTTTATTTGTGAAAGCAAATGAGTATCGACTTGGAGTTAATCTTACATGAGGCCATTGCATTCTGTTTAGCAATGGCTCTTTATTTACACACTAAAACTCCATCAAATTGATAACCCTCTACACATACGATAAACATTTTTGTACCAGGTGATTAAACCTAAAACTTGTTACTCAGCAATCGTTCTCCTTATAGCTACCAGAGATGTTTTCAGAGTTAGAGAACTTACCAGAATGTGAGAAAACTGTTCGCTCTAACTAGTATCAACTTTGTATTATATAATAACGTTCACCTGGATTTACATTTTAAAGAGATAATGCTGTAAAATATATATGTATAAAAAAACTACATCCTTATACATTAAGCCATTCATAGGGAAAATACCAGAACACTTAATATTATTACAAAACACAAACTGGTATATACTATTCATCACAATCCATAGTTAGCCACTTTAATTTACATGCTGTTACCTCCAGCATCTACCTCCTAAAAACCAGAATAAAGTTCATGCATATTTTTACACCAAAAACTAACAAAGCATATTAATATTGCCTTATCTGTATTTTGTTAGAGAGGGAAAGAATACCAAAGTGAAGTTTATCATTTTAATGGCAAACCACACAGTCACAATCAAAGCATGTGTCTTTACAAATACTGAATACCTCAACAAAATTATAATACCTCATATCACTGGTCAGAAAGCATAACAAAACAGAGTTACTTCTTCTAAGAGATAATGACTTCTACATCATTACTATTCTATTCTTTGAAAGGAAAAAAAAAACTTGACAGAAAATGATACCATGACAGAGACCCATTGTACTGAAAGGAAGTTGTCCTAACTTTCTTTGAATTAATTGCTGTCTTAAATTTGAAAGATAAAGAAAAGGAATGAAGAAAAAAAGAACTTACTTGCTGATTTAAAGTTTCATCTTTAGACCGTGTAAGATTATGCAGCAAGTTTTCTTGCCAAGGCTGCCTTCTGCACATTCCTTTCAAAATAACCAGTGCTCAGAATCTAGATCCAAGAAGATTCGTTCACACATTGCACTTCCTGTTTCTGTGAGGCATTAATATCCAGTCTCGTATTGTCCAAAACAAATTTGCTAGAACCGTAAAAAAGAATACCCTCAACATATTAACCCAGAAGGCATATTATCTTTCTCTCCGTTCTGAGGTATGCCAACTGCTTTAGTTATCACGAGCGACTTACTCTAAGCTGCTAGCAGGAATCTGTCTGCCCTCTATCTGTCGCTATTAGCTCAGCACGTTGATTCACTGGCACTGAAGCAACAGCAATTAGCTGTCCTGCTTTTCACAGCACATTCAGGAGAGAGCTGAGTGCGCTAAACCACACAGTGACTGGTGAGCTCTTTGCACCAATTAGTAGCAGGTGCTATAGCCCCAAAGACAAATGGAGGCCCCGCTGATCATTGGTGTTGGCTGCTTTATTGTACTGTGTCCTGTCAGCCTGTCTGGTTATTTTCTAGTGTCTTTTGTAGGGCTGTTTTCATTGTTTACCTCATCAGCACTAAAAATTTTAGCAGTGTATACTGAATGACTCTACCGACATGTCAAAATCATCTGTTAAAAGTCCTTAATGATTCCCTCTCTGACTCTCTATGTCTTTCTGTCACTCTCTCTGTCTCTCTCTCTCACACACACAAGCACACACACGGTCCTTCTATAGCAAGCCCTCCATATAATTGTGATGTGAGGAATTATTACACATTCTATAGAAGCTGAAATAGAGTTTGTTTATATACACATATATGATTCATTTAAAGATCCTGTGGAGAAACATACTACAAAAAAGTTAATTTCTTAAATAAATATTGTGAAATATGAGATTTAACAACAATGTTTTGAAAATGAAAATGTGAAGTGGTGAAAAATAAGAATCTAGTTTGTAAATCAGGAATAGTTTTCTAAAGGAATCTACAATGAACATGATTTATTTAAGCACCTATTAAATTTTGTTCAACTGAATCTTTAAGAAAGAAGTTTCTACAAACAAGTGCAGTATGCACAATAAGATATTGTTGGAGTGAATAACCTTTTATCGGTGAAAGTGATACAAAGAGAGGCCATTGCAATAGTCCAGTGGGCAGGATGCCTGCCTTGCATGTGGCTCGCCAGCCTTGGTTCCCTGGCATTCATTCCACATGGCCCCCTGAGCCCCACCAGAGTTGATCCCTGTGCACAGAGCCACAGAAATCGATCCTGGGCACCTTCGTGGATACTCTCCAAAAATTACACAGTGAAAAATATTTATACAAAATTCTCAGAGTACATGCATTTCTTCATACAGAACTACAGTACTATAAGGTAGGTTATTAAATGTCATAGTATGTTAGCCCTATTAAAGGAAAAACACAAAACCCTCTAGAGTGTTTGTAAAATTATTCCTATTTTGGGTAGGGGAGTTGTGTGATGTGCAATATAAAAGTTACTTAATTTTTATATTCATGTGTTTCAAAGAGGAAAAAGTATCAAAGAATCTGGAAGCAATCTAAGGTAAGCTAAATTTGTCATAAATGCCAGAGGTAAATCTATGTAGCCTAATTACTGATAAATTATAGATAAAGCTGTAGGGTCCTTGCACCAAACCGAGATGTGGGGTTGCTTTACTATGTGGAAGCCCAATTCTTAATTGTCTGAGAAGTGTCTGCACTGTAAAAAACTAAAACCATAACAAAACATACAAACAAAAAATAAAAACTAAGAATTGAGCTCCATATGATACAGCCATCCCACTTCCTGGAATTTACCCAAAGGGCTCAAAAACTCTATCTTGAAAAGACACATGTCCCCCTCTCCTGATTGCAGCACTACTCCCAATAGTGAAAATTGAAAAGAATCAGAGTGTTCAAGAAAAGATGACTGCATAAAGAAATTATTGTATATATGTATGTATGTATATATATAAATATATATATATATATATATATATATATATACACACAATGTAATGTTACTCAGCTATAAAAAGATAGACTCGCGCAATTGCCTACCACATTGATGGAACTAGAGGATATAATGCTGAATGCAATCAGTTACCAAAAGAGGAACAGATATGTAGTAATAACTCTCATATGTTGATTATAAAGAAACATAAGTAGGGAGCTACAAGTGGCCAAAAACAACAGAACTGGAGAGATGGTCTACAGAACTGAGCTAACCTACCTGGGGATAGGGGGGCGGGGGTCCGAATGATGGACAGAAGAGGGCACAATGATGGTGATGTCACGCTGGTATGATGTAGGCAGAAAAGTACCGCTAGCAATATTGTAAATAACAGTACATCCATTAAAATGGGGAAACAAAGAAAGAAAGGCAAAGGGTATCGGGCTTCAGGAAGATAGGAGGAGAATTTCACAATGAAATGAACGAAAGTTCTGTAACACGATTTTTGTACTGCTATTAAATAGTTTTATCTGATATAAAGATCATTTAGAGAGATAAGCTTAAAGGTAAAGGTAAAGGCCCTCCCGTTGATCGTCGATTTGCTCGAGTGGGCCCAGTAACGTCTCCATTGGAGACTTTTGTTGTTACTGTGTCTGGCATATCGAATACTCTTGGTAGCTTGCCGGGCTCTCCGAGAAGGGCGGAGGAATCGAACTCGGGTCGGCCATGTTGGCCGCTTGTTTTTTGATCAACCACTCAACCTCTATTCAAAGAACTCCAAATGTCAAATTCCATGTAATGGGAGCCTCTTCTGGAAATCTTAGGTGAGTCTACCTGAACAAATTAGTGAAGTTTCATTGAACAAGTGAAGTAATATTAAGAATAGTAAGAATCATTAAAGTCATATTTATTGATAACATAGTTAATCTAATCTCTGGCTACATTCAATTATGTTTGTTGAAAAAGACAGAAATTTTTTATTATTTTTGCTTTTTCTGCTTTTTTATATTTAATAATGTACTTATTTTTTGTATTGTAGACAAAAAGCCTCAACTGTTGATATGATGCTATAGTTTACATTGATTAAATAACCAATAATAAAATGTATAAGTTTCAAAACAATTTTTATGTGAAAATTGTTGTATTTCACCACAGGGTTGTTAAATCCTGTCTGAGATTTACTAAGCTATTGTTGCTAGTTGGACCATCTGTGTTATTGTTTATTAAGTTTAATCAGCTTTTGTGATACTTTCCCAAGTAATTTGGCATGCTACTACTGGTATTTCAGGATTGAGGAATTTGAAGAATCTATAGTCTGTGTCAATCAGTTGGCATGTCGGCGGCTGTGATAGGTGTAGCTACCAGGGTTTCAGCAAGTATGGACCTTGTGGGCAGTGTGCCCACCCCCACTCAGAGAAGACCTCAGAGTTCTCCTCCTGAACACTGGGGTGACTGAAATTTTTTGCATTTTGGTGTCTCTGCAGAGAGTATTTGTGAAGCTTTAGCTTGTCTTCAAGTATTAAGAGAAATTAGATTATCATGAAATGAATTTATGGGTGATAATTGCTGATTTTCTTTCTTCTAAATCGTATTTTAAAGAAATGACAAATTTTAGAGAACCAAGTTAAAAGCATCATAAACAAAATTTTATAAAAAGTCAATGAAAAAATCTATGACCATACAAAATAGAGAATAAAAAATGTGTGAAAATTAAGAAAAGGGGATGCACATAGAAAAAAAACACTAGAATATTAGTTACCTGTTATTCTTAAGAGAATGTAAATAAACTGAAAAATATTTGTTTCAAGTATATATTTACAGTCAAGTGTGACTTAGGACAGACATAAGATTACAAAGATAATAATACAGATATGTAACTACTTCAAATGGGAGTGTTCCAATAAAGTAAGATAAGTGGCAATATTTGTTACCACACGCGTCAAGGAGGCCAAAAGCTGCAAAGAGTTAAGATTAAGAACTTGATTTAATTTCTGGCTCTGCTTCTTATAGCTAGCTAGAGACCTGAGCCAGTAATCTGGTTTAATTTAGTCACAGTCTGTCTTCTTTCTTGTAGTTAGTAAGTAAAAGGTCACAAAGAATTGAAAAAACTATTTTATTATGATACTGAATGACTTCCCATTATATTAACATGGATTTTCTCATGCTTCTTTGAATGTGTCCATAAAGTCAAAGACCTGTCAGTTTCATAGATAAGTGTGTTAGAGATAGTACGCAACTGCCTGAAATTTAATGTTTTTAAGATTTTATGACTTTGAATTAATTCCTTTGCCTGTCTGAGAGTCTGAGTTTTAAACTATACTTAAATAGTACTAGGGGCTGTAGGACTGTACAGTGTGCAAGGCCTTTGTTTGCACATAGTAAACCCAGCATCATATGTTCCCCAAAGCTCAGGAGTGAGCCTTGAGCCAGGAGTGAGCCCTGAGCACTGCTAGGTGTGGCTGCTCCCCTCCCAACAAAATAAACATAAAAGTTCATTCATTCATTCATTCATCATCCTGTTATTCGTCGATTGCCTCGAGCAGGCCCCAGTAATGTCTCTTTCATCCTAGCCCTGAGATTATATTCAAGGCTCTTTAGGAGAATGAGACCCATCGTTATTACTGGTATTTGGCATATTTGGTATGCCACGGGGAGTTTGCCAGACTCTGCCCTGTGGGCAGGCTACATTCGATAGCCTGCAAGTTTGTCCAAAGTAGGAATGAGATAATAAGATGTCATAAAAAGATGTCCTGATAAGATGTCGCGGTCGCACGGTTCCGGGAGCTGGATTTTATAGTCTCTGAGTCTTGGCCGTTGATGGGATTACACAGCGCCAGGGGGCCAGGTGGTGGGTGTGACCCCTGCCTACTGGAATTTGGAGGATCTGGGTGGAGGATGCTCGACTCCAATCTGAGTAGGCTTGGAGATCTCGGTCCCGGAACCCGCGTGGCTTTGTCCCTCTGCCAGTACCTTCATGTGTGTGGAGAGTGGTCTCAGCATGGTGGTGGCTGGTCCTGGAAGTCTTCGGCTGCTGGAGCCCTGGTCGGGGCGGGGAGGAAAGCTCAACCCGCTCCCCTCCAAGGGGCCCC